GACTGCTCTGAAACACCTTCCCCAACCTTGAGCCAGATGTCCGCTGTGTCAGATGGCACCACCTTAACCAACACTGCTGCCACTTCTCATGTAATTATCCTTCCTTTTTTTCCTCCTCCATTTTGTTCGAACAGGTTGTCAAAGGGGAAAAGAATTCAGACTTGTCTGTTATCCCGTCACATGGACAAGCATCCCGTTGCTAGTTTTCTGTGTTCGCAGTCTGACAGTGTGTTTTACAACAGTTGTTTTTAAAAAAAAAAAAATCATTGGCATAGCAGATTTGGCATTAGGAAAATGACAGTAAGTTGTTGCACAGTTGTATGGTCAGCTGCGGTGTATCAGACGCTTCGCTTACAGTAAATAAAAACATATTCAATAAGTGCCTGTTCCAAGTGCATTAAAGGCAAGCGGTCTGTAGGGTTTGAAGTATTGTTAGCAACGTACAGGTTTGTGAAGTTTGTAGCCTCGGGGCTACCTCCCTTTTTGGTTTTTACTGAAGCACAGATTTCAATAATGTAACTCGTACATTCAGAGTAAGTGTTGGCAATATTTAACGCAGGTTTTTTTCCCAGCCATGACCACTGACTGCACCAAACTGTTTTTCTCTCCTCTAACTGACCTATTCCTCTCCTAAGCGCAGTTTCTTACAGGAATGAGCTTCATAAATAATACTGTAGTATCCAAGTGTCCTGTTACTTTTCTCTCTGTTAAGTCAAAGAAAAAACCAGCATGCAGTTAGACTTTTTATACATACATTCACTTTTCTGTACCTCAAATATGGGTGGAAAGAAGGTGTGGAATTTGGGTCAAATCCAGATCACTTCTGATTTCTTTTGAGATTATCTGCATGATTAAAATGGGTCAGAACAAAGCCTTCATTTAAATTGAGCAATTCGTTGCTGAATTGCAAAACAGAGAGATGTTCTGAGGCAAAGTTTTACTGGGTCACAGCAGTGTTCAAACTTTGTACATGCTAGCGTTTTCAAGTCTGAAAAGGACAAACAGTGTACATATTTTTAAAGGTTCATGTATATTTTATTGAAAATATTTTGAGCCCAAACTTAGACATAGTCTCCTGGAAACTCAACAATCTGTTGTTATTGCTCTGGATGCTGTTAAAAAATCATTATTAATAACAGACATGTAAAAACTGTCATTTCTAACTCTTGTAACAGCTCTGAAAATATTTTTTTTGTATATATAAATCACTACTGTGAATGTGGAAACGGTATGTGGTACCTGTATGTGGTACGTGTAAATAAGGCACAGTCACTACATGACCATTTACTAGCTATGGGAAACATGAAACACTGATATTTTCTTCTAACCTATTTCTGGAATAATCAACTGTATTTCTTTTCTTTGAGCACCATTTTTGTAAGCCAAAGTGAACAGTCCTTCCTTCTTTCCTTTTTTGGGTAGTCTCCCTGTAGAGGGATATGTTATGGTTAGGTCTGGCCAACACTTCTTAGACATGGCTGGGATGAGCATAACAGTTGTTCACTATTAATGGAGAAAGAGAAAGGATGAGTCTCCCACCAAAGGACAAAAATCCCCAAACTGTCCTAAGAACCCCGGAGAAATTAAACTGCCGGCAAAACCCACCTCTACAGTGCAGAAAAGTCTTCATCTCCCACCCTCTGTAGAGGAGGGCCAGATGACTGTAAATATATCCATAAGAACAAGAAAATGATGGGGAAGCTGGTGGCACACACGTGTGCTGCTCATGGCCCTACTCCTGCAATGATCTTCATTCTCAGAGGAGGCTCCTGTTGGTTTTGTAGATAAAAAACACTGAGAGAACAATAAAAGTAATACAGGATTGGGCCGTCCATCACTCTGCCCGCATAAGATGGAACCACGTTTTCAAAGGTATTATGTCGACACTGGCGACGTACATTTGTTCTTGAGGCCCTTAGTGGGAGCTTAGGCAAAAAGGTTTTACAGCAGATCTTCTGGGAAGAAGAGACAGCATCAGGAAGAACCAAATCAACAGAATTGTAAAATATTCCAGGCAAAAATACAGAGCTAAACATGAAACTGTGGTTAATTGGCCATACATTCAGTCACAGATTACAGCTTCTTTAAAAACCTGAAGTATGAGAATTGTAATTTTTATTTGGGTTTATGCTTAGAACTGGAATTAAAATCAGAGAACAGCTGGGTTTGGAAACTATTTTTTCCGATTCTATTCCAATTATGAACATTTCCTTTATAAAGTAATTTTCATGGGGTTTTTTTGGATTTATGTAACTTAAAATTGTAGAATCTAATGGAAACTTGGAAATGGAAGTACACATTAGATTTTTGCTTTTTCCCAGCTTCTCTGACTGTCATAAGCTTCAAGAATTGATCCCACATATTTCAGCCTAATTCAAAGGCTTGAGACCAGGGGCGTGCTGTGCAGCATTGTTGCGCCAAACTGCTCAGGCATCCGTA